ACGTCCCCGTCAGAGGGCCACAGGAAGCAGGAAGAGCTTACATGTCTCAGGGCTCTCCTCTCTGCCGCTGTCTGCATGACGTAGTGAGCTTTTTAGCCAAGAAATGGGTGGATAAAGGAGCCAGGCCACTGGGCACGAGCTACACCTTGAGGCTACTCCTGAAATTCGCATTTTCAGATAGAAATTCTGAGCCTCTGGGAAATGCACTCTGTAGCACACCTCTGAGGTAGCTGTCATTGCTGTCCTTGGTGACAGAGCCCTCAGGCTAGACAGGGCAGTAGTTAGCACTCAGGGGCAGGTCAGTGCCCTCCTAGGGAGCAGCTTGTCTCCCGGGGTTAAGACAGTGAGTTCTCACGGGTGCCCAGGTCCACAAGGACTGCCGAATGGGCCGATCGTGAACTGTGCACGTGCCTTGTGATGTCCACAAAGAGACCCAACAGTTCTTGAGCAACAGTTTGCCACCGAGCCCACAGGATAGTGATTCTCACACTTGATCCTGGACTTGGATCAAGGAGCTGAGCTGGATCCATCTAACTTGGGAGCTGCCTGAAGGTCCTCTGTCAAGGAGGAAGCTTGGTTCAGCCCAGCTCCCCGGCCTCAGTCCTACGGACACTTTGAACCAGATGGACTGGGGAGGGGGAAGCTGCCCTGGCTGCTAATCCTCCAGACTTTGCCAAATGACCCCTGGGGACATGTTACTGCAGCAGAAAATGGATTCCCCACCAAGCAGGTTGGGAAACATTCAGTATCCTCAGAAAAGATCAGGAGGTAGAGCTCTCCCACACAGCCAAAGCCACCTCATCCTAAATTGGTCCAAGTGAGCCTGTGGCCTCCCGTGCCTCTGGCTCCTATGGTTCTCAAACTGCATTCCTTGGGGACCCCTAGAGGAACCTTCTGCTTTAACTCTAATTTACAAACTCTTCTGCCAAAATGACCAATTTCAAACCAGTTGGGCTTCCATGACACCGTGTTTTTGCCAATAATGGCAGCACAGAACCATGAAACAATAAAGTGGCCCAAATAGTCCTGTCACCTTTTCTGTTTCAGGTGGATGGAAGTGATCCGAAGTGCCACCAGCTCTGCCTCTCGGGCCCATGTTTCAAGTCACAAAGAATCTCACATGTATTGATGGCTGGACGCACTCCATGGCTGGCTCACCGTCTGTGACGAAGCCAGCCCCACTGTCACCTGTCTGAACGTGGTTTCACAGTGACTCCCGCCCGTCTCCCTCCGCGGCCATCTCCTCACCTTGTCTTCTCCACTGCTGAGTTCTCCTTGGAACGGGGACCCCAACTCCAGGCCTGGGGGCCTTCCGCCGTCATTCTCATGGGGACTGTTCTTGGGCTTGTGCCAGTATTGCAGCATTGTCATTAAAGAGTGCCAAACGACATTCCTTCCCCAGGACTGCACCTCTAACGCGGTGCACACGCATCCGTTCAACCGAGGACAGGGCAAGTGCTCTTCTTTTTCTTAGAAAAAGACTTTTAGTATTCCACCTGCGGGCTGCTGTCTTAAAAATGGATTTTTCCAGTGTTCGCAACGCGCGGCGGTCTTAAGCAAATGAGATCGTTTTCAGGTTTCATTTCCCCCCAATCTTTCTACTTTTATAACAGGAGGTCCACAGGACTCACTTTCCTTGACTAATAAGCAGTTCCCAGCGCACTCCGCTCCGCTGAGGGGCCCACGCTCCAGTGACACACTTGTTACCTGGCCTACTTCTTGGCGAAGTTGACCAAATCGATTCCTCTTTACAAACCATAGCGGGTGGTTTTCGGTTCGGAGGAGCAGGGACCCAGTGCGCCCCTGACTGCTGCTGTACTGTGAGTGGTGTGTACGATGGTGTTTGCTGTGTTTCACAAGCATGAGAACCCGTGTGTCACTGACCGGGGCCATTTGTGCTGTTCCGTTCTGGGGTGTCATGTGAGCTTCATGGATGCAGGAGCCTGTACAGTCATGGTACGTAGTCCCAGCCCCCGTGACCAGACCCCTCCCCTCCCGCCTCCGTGGTTGGAAACCACACATTCTCTAGTAGTTATCTACCGTGCCTGTCTTCACTCTTTAGACCCACCCCCCGGGCATGGGGTACCGGCAGAGTAACACTGCACCCCTGGACAGTCACGCTTCGCTGGGAACCTGGTGTCCCAGTGCCCACAGGTGGGCAGCGTCGACCCGTTCGTTCCCTATGGCGACCAGGTGGCTGCCATTCCCTTCGCACTCTCGAGCCCTGCCTGACGATAGTCGGCCTATTCAGCACGGTTCTGTCCCATGTCCTCACAGGGAGGCCACTTCCCTAAACACTGGGCACACCGTCATGGAGCTGTGGCTGGTGTCCACGAGTGACGGGCGGACAAGAGCTCAAGACGTGTCATCCTTTGCCTTACGATATGTACCAGATGGTTTCAAGCACTAACAAAGGGAATAAAAATACCTCACGCCAAAATCCAGCATATTGAAGTTTTAAGGCAAAATGACCAGCACTGTCTCTTGTCTTTATTGTGCACACGTGGCGGGACAGGGACCATGGGCCTGCAACGCCACCTGTGCAGGGGCGGGGTGGGTGGACGTGAGAGGGAGGAGGACAGGCTCGGGAGATAGAACAGGTGTGGACACGAGAGGGAGGACCTTCCACTTTCCCTTGGAAGAAGCCCCTGATGAACCGCCTGGAGAGCAAGCTCCCTGCAGGCTTCTCCCAAACCGGGGGAGGGGCGGGTCAGGGAGATGCTAAGGGGCCAAGGGGCAGAGCAGTATCAGGAACAGGCTTCGTCTAGAACTTACCTGAGCTGAGTGACATCCCCAACTCATTCAGGAACACCTGGGGACAAGGTGGTTCCCTACCCGAGCATTTCTGGATGCCTCCAAACCACTTGCTGGACACCTGTGGTTCCCATCTGTGACCAGCTCCTCTGTCCCCCGTGTGGCTTCAGAGAAAAATTGAAAATAACATGGGCACCAAGTCCACTCCCAATGGGCTGCCAGGGGAGGTGGCGTTCCAGAGACCCCTCTCATGCAAGACAAAGACCATCGTTTGCTGAGCCCCTCGCTAACCCTTGCATGACCCCGTGGGTGCTCAAGAACACACCATGGGGCCTCTGCCTCCACTGCCGTATTTTGTGGTAGAAACGCTGTTCCTGAAGGAAGGAAGTATCGAATGCTTATCAACTGGCAACTCATGACTGAAGGACCAAGCCAGACACTTCACAAGAGCAACTCAAGAACAGACCTGTCCACCTGGAAGACAGGTGGCACTCAGTTTGTCAAGAAAGCGAGGGGCCAGCTGTTAGGTGGTGGAGACATCTGGAACCACCCTGGGGCTCCACCTCCCGGGTGCAGCCAGCAGCACGCAGCAGAGAAACAACTTCAAAAAGGCAGAAGCCGTGGCCGAGCAGCCAACTCACAGCCACCGCTTCATGGTGGCCACAGTTGCATGACCCACAGGCCCTGGGCTGAGGAGCCAGGGAACAGCTCAGGTTTGGAATCAGGAGACTTCAAGTGACAGCAAACCCCCAAACGCTGAGCTCACAGACTCGGCTGAAGACCAGCAGCCATCGGCACTACTGAGGCAGGTTCCAATCGGAGCTCTGGCACCTTCAGTGAAAGACTGGAAATGTGGGGACAAAGGCTAGACTGTGGCTAAAGGAGGTGCCCTCAACATTTCAGCCGATTGTGTCTACAGAGTCACAATCCAGAAGAGAGTACACTGAGGTGGTCCACGTGGAGACCTCCAGTCTAAACACATGCCCCAGGAAGCTTCCAGCAAATTCCCAAAGAATCATTTGTTGCTTTTACCAGGAGATGGAGCTTTTCAGTATTGTATGCTCACGACTACAGGGAATCTTCCTAATCAAGACCAATATTCTTGATTAGGATCCAAGTCTACCTAGCAACTTCACCACAGTTACTAGTATTAGAAACTGGCTGCAGGAATTGTTCAGTGGTTCAGTGCAGAACTGTTCAGTGGTGGAATTGTTCAGTGGTTCAGTGCAGAATTGTTCAGTGGTGGAACTGTTCAGTGGTTCAGTGCAGAATTGTTCAGTGGTGGAGCACCTGCCTTGCGTGAGGCCCTGACATCAAGTCATGTCACTGCCTGGAAACCCGATGAACTCCGTCTTCCAAAAAAGCTGCCATCTACATTGGTGCTCTTAAAACCTACCCCATAGCACACTTGAGGTACCCAGATACCCCAAGATGGACAAAACTGACCTTTCCTTGTATAGGGAAACACATACTGCTCAGAGTCTTGTACCCTTACAATAGGAATCAGCAATGCAGTCTGAGTTCCTTTAGCCACATGTATCTCTTTTAAAAATTAGTAATTCAACCGAAATCCACTTGTGATATAACATCATGGTTCCATAGTCTCAACTCCCACATCAAATTCAAACAAAGCGATACCTCTCCGCAACACCTCGAGTTCAGGCATGTTCTCTGTCCCGGCAACCTCCAGGCCACTGCGGCAATGAACTTCCCAAGTGACTTCGTTGCCTCCCCAAAATTCCATTGTCTTAGTCCTGGCAACATATTACTAAAGGACCAAGCCACTACCCCAATAAAAGATGACAGTAATTGGCATCAACAAATATAAAAGAATGTTACCTGTACCAAAATAAAACACACAACTCTCCCTCATTGCAGAAAACCCAGAAATTTCCCACCTTGCTAAATAACACCTGATAGCAAACCAAGAAAACCAGACATCCTGGGTGACAGCACTGGTAGCCATGGTCTCCATCAGAAGAACTAAAACCATCCTTAAAGTCCTTGGCAAGAGGTAGAGCAGTTTCACAAATCTGCAATGTCCAGCCACATCTCAGTGACCACTCACACAGCTGCAAAGTTGAAAATGCTGCTCATCAGCATTTTCCCACCTGGGCACTTTTCCCTGGAGTTTTCTGAACTGTCTCGGCACACACACTCAGCCAGCCACACACTTACACAACCACACACACAAGAGCAGGTGCCCTGTCCACTCTGCAGTCATGTTTCAAGAAGAGTATGCAAAATAAGTGTGTTATAAAATTTATTGGTGTAAGCATCCAGACACTTCCAGGTGGGAAAGATGATGATATGCAGATTCCGCTACGAGGTGCAACAGAAAATCGTGTGGGCAGGACAGTATGCCTGGTGCACGACTCCAAACAAAGGTTAGACGAGAGTGCTTCCTCTGGGAAACTCAAGAGTAATAATTTAAAGCTTCATGAGGCAAGATATGTTCCAATTTAAAACACTAAGAAATAGTACCATCGATGAAAAAGGAAATCAACTTCTAATTGTACCAAAAGGGGTGAAGGACAAACAAGAGGGACATTTGCATCTGTCGAGGTACAAATGGGAGTGTTCCATTGAGGGGCGTTAATTATTATTAATGGCAAACCCTGCAAATACAAAATAAAACCCAAATCACTGGTCACATGATTCAAAATTTACATGTAATAAAGGCAAGGCAATAGACTCAAGTTATGGCCTGTCAAATATTTACTCCACGGACATTATCTACAGAAGCACTTGGCCGATTTGTACACAGTGATTCCTTATGCACGCCAAAGGGGTTTCTGTAAAAATGACGCTATATACAGTCTGTACACAGATCCACCAGCGATTCTCCATCTCCCGGGGGAGTTATCGACTTAAAGCAGGATACCTGAGGTTTCATGTCTTTAGTTGCCTTATCACAATCCCAAATATACACTTCAGGGGTTTTGTTTTCAAAGACATTTTCCTTGAATATGTGCACTATGGTTAAAATTAAAAACAATAAAAAAATAAAATAATTGCTTGAAGGAGCTGGCCCTCCCCACCCCATGCGAGAGACTTCATCAGGCTGTGGCACAGCGAGGGCTGAGTGTGTCCCTGGACGGCGCGGTCTTGGGGGTGGCCCTCTGTGGCGCCTCCAGGAGAGCCGGCAAAGGTTCTCCTCGACTTTCAAAAGGAGGATGCAGAAGAAAGGAGGGAAAACAAAACCCCAGAGGCCAAAGGGTTTCAGTGGGACGAAGTTCCTCCACCACTTAGAGAATATCTAGGAAAAAAGAAAAAGAAACAGAAGTAAATGTCATTTTTCTAACCCTTGTGCAAAAATTTAAAACAATAAAAAAATCTTAGTTTTTATAGGAAGTCTTAAGTCATTTAAAAAAATACAGTAGTGCAAATACCAGTGGGATAATAAATCTATTAAATAAAGAACTCAAAGATTAAGAAAATCATGGTTCTGACACAAAAACTTCATAGCACAGGATCAAGAGGAAAAATGATGTGTCCAGGCTTCTGGACAGATGTCAAAACAGCGGATGGGACTGAGGATCAATTTTGGAAAAATGACATTGTCCAGTAACAGAGCAAGAGCCCAGGGATGCCCTCCCACAGCTGATGGAAGAGAATGCAGGAAGTCCTTTTAGGCCACCAACATACTGACGTGGTCCAAGTCACCAGCTTCCTAGCAGGGCCTCAGAAACAAAGTCCATAGGAGGAAATGGATATCTGCACAGAGATACCTCTCCAGATTTTTTGAACACCAGAATAATTTGTAACAACTTTGAAGACTAACAGAAAAGCAGTTAAGCAAAATATGCAAACCAGAAGAAATCAAGATTTTAAACTATAATTATCTGTATTTATGCAATCTGAAAAATACAGTTAGTTGTGACTATATACATATAATACCTGTGTGTTTTTAAGCTCTGTATCATAAATACCAAGGAATAAAGTCCCAGGAGCACTGTAATTTGCAAGTATGTGAGAAATGGATTAAGTTCACACTTGTGCATTGGAAGGTAATGCATTAAAAGATGGTGATGGTGGTGGTGGTAACCACCAGGCTACAATAGTGGGACCATGAATCACTTCTTGTTTTCAAAAAATGTTATAGTATTTTCTCGCTTCAGAATATAAAACAGTGGGGCTGAGGCTGCCTCGAGGTCAAACACCATCAGAACCAACTCCAAGGCACAGGTCAGGAGATGGCCAAGGACATCTTTAAGAAGACTTGTCTCAAACACTCCTACCCACAGCTCCTCTCTGCAGGCACTGATAATGCCTGGTATTAGAAGGCATTATCAGTAGGAGTGGCAAGGTCCCCATGAAAGCAGGCATTAGCCACAACCTCTATACTTGAATTTCAATATCGAGTTGATGTTGCACAGAACAGTCTAAACATTAATTCAAAAAACTAAGACAGAAAGGCTTAGAAAATGCTTTAGGTGACAGTTTTCTTTCTGAGCGACTTGCCAAAGTAACGGGTTTGGGAGCCAAACTGCAAAGAAGCCTGAGCTTCAGCCACTGTGGCCGGCATCCAATCACAGAGGACTTTGGGTAAAAAACAGACCGCCACAGCAAGCCTGCAGGGACAAGATGAGGACTCCCCAAAGCCAGGCCATCTGATGACCAAGGAGGAGGGTCCACTTGTCACTGAAGGTGACTACTAAGCACCCAACTGTAAGTGTGGATTCAAGCCCAAGCGTAAACACCAGATTTCAGACTCAGTACAAAAAAGAAAGTAAAAATATCTTACACTGTAATTGTTTATATTGATTATGTGTTGAAACGATAATGTTTGAAGTGTAGCAGATTTAAAACTACTCTTAAAATCTACATGAAGCCCGTGTTACACTCCCACTGGATGGAGCTGGCAGGTGGGTTTGCATCCACAATAAAAGAAAGGGGATGGGGAGAAGGGGGTTGTGAAGTGGAAAACATGGACTGACCCGTGTGCTCGGGACACAGCACAGTGCTGGACTGCTGGGGAAGTCCAGGCACACACATAAATCACGCCACACGTTCAGGCAATGGGGACCTCATATAAAATACGAGCTCAAAAGTGACACTACACAAGCAGAAAAAAAGTCCAAAGCAAGACACTAACAATATACCCAGTTTCTGGGTTTAGTTCTATTTGCTTTATGAGTTTCATTCTTTATTTGGGGGGAGGGAGGAACAATTGAACCCAGGGGTGCTTAACTACTGAGCCACACCCCCAGCCCTTTTTATATTTTATTTAGAGGCAGGGTCTCACTGTGTTGCTAAGTGCCTCACTGAGTTGCAGAGGCTGGCTTTGAACTCACGATCCTCCTACCTCAGCCTCTCAAGCTGCTGGGATTACAGGCCTGCACCACTGCACCCGGCATAAGTTTCTTTTTAGTGAGAAATACATGCCATTAGAAGGAAGTGAAGATACCAAGCTAGAAAAATCAAAAAGGCTTGTGTAGAGGCAAGCATGTGGTGACCTTTGTATTCTCTTTTGCTTTATTTCTGTAACCTGTTTCATTGCTTTTAATGTGGCAGAAGTGGGGGCAGCAGGACAGAATCATTAAACAGATCAGCGACTCCTTCGACCGTCTCAGTCAAGGAAACCATTTCTACTTTCTATCCTCACTTGGCAGTCGCAGTGACGTGTACCAATGAGGCTGAATGTCAGGCTGCTTTTTTGGGGGGGATGCCCTCAGACAAAGGGACTCTTCAAGGACAGTGGGCAGCCCCATCAGGTGTCACTTGCAAATGGCCAAAGTGACCCCAC